ACAAATATATTAATGACTTGGATAAGTGGGTGCATGATAAGTCTTAAAAACTGAGGGTTTGTCTGCACTTAAATGCCACAGTGGCACAGCTATGCTGCTGAAACACTTCAGTGTAGACACTACCTATGCCGACAGAAGGAGTTGTTCCGTCGATGTAGGTAATTCATCTCTCCGAGAGGTGCTAGCTAGGTCAACGGAAGAATTTTTCTGTCAATCTAGCACTATCTACATGGAGACTTAGGTCAGCTTAACACCACCACTCCAGGGTATGCATTTTAAACAGACCTAATTTTCTAGTATAGATCAGGCCTAAGAAAATTCAGAAGGACCTAAGGAACCTACGTAGTAAATTTTAAGTGTTCAAAGAAATGCACATTGAAACAAGTGATCTAAAGTATTTCTGTACACTGGGTTCCAAATTAATCTCCTAAGCATCATTTGGTTAGTTTGTGAACACTTGCATGTATGTCAGGAAAGATGCTGTCTTTTGCAACTGAACTTCCCAAGTTAGAATCAGCGTTTTTCTTGAACTGGCTTGAAATGCTCTCCACTACTTGTGTAATAATTAACATCTGCCTCCTATCTAGTCCCTTGTGAATCAGCTCAAGGGATGTGGAAGCTTTCAAATCACACTAGCTGGAATTCTAAACTGTGACGAGAATGGTGATGCAACATGCATTTATCTTTAGGGGAGAGATTTTTAAAATAAAAACCACTCCACTGGCTCATGGGTAAAATATTTTGTATATTGTTGCCTTTTGCCAACCAACTGCTAAGTATGCTGAACCAGGTATGTGTAATGTATCAGTTCTTCAAGTGTGTGTTTGTGTTCCACTTCTAGTGTGTGTCCCCCATGCACTAGAGATCACAATCTTTTGATCAGTCGTGTCCTTTGGGCCAAATCTGTTCATTTGTGCCCTCAAGCCTGCATGAAGCATCAAGCAGATCTGAAATAAAAAGGATCAGGACCCCAGACATACTTATACAGTTCCAGGTCGTCTTTGACAGCTCGGAGTCCTCAGGCGAACAATAGACGATTATGGAGACTTTGAAATAGACCATTTCCTAAGCTGAAATTTTGAACATGTGGGTTAATGATATTGTTTTGATTGGATGTGTAACTCATTAGCATTGGGAGAAGGACTTGAAGAAACTGCTTCTAATATTTCAGGGAGAAATGGTAGCTGAGCAGGATTAAGAGAATTTTAGAAACTTTAAATATTTTTCCTTTCCAAGCAACACGTGGCTTGGCTGACACCTAATACCTGGAAAAACTATTTACTACAAAAATTGTCAGAATGACTTTAATCATCCTGAATGTACCCAATGTGTGTACAGGATCCTATCTTTAGTATTTGCAGTCAGTTGTCTGGCTTCTTTAATTGTCTGTATGCCAGGGCACTCTGAGGAATTCTGCAGGCTGTGTCAGTGTTCTAACCCATGTACAGTGTAACGGTTTTTGGTGTGAATGCTGGCACATGTGTACTCAAAACTTGCTTTTTACTCACATTTTATGTGAGTAAAACTCATTCTGATGAATGCCTTCAAATTGAACTCAAAGGGGATGTGAGCAGAGCTGAAGCTAATTCATTAATAAGTTCAGGTGGGCGCTCATAAAATACTTCAACCTGAACAACTTGATACTATTGTTCAAGCGTGAACAGGACGTCATCAGACCCCTGGGGCAGCAATTTTAGTGATCTCATAAAGGGTGTAGAAGTCAGGTTAAAAAAACCCAGAGAAATCTCAAATGTTTAAGTTTAAATATGGCCAATTGGCCAACTGTCGGAAGAGGGGCTGGATAGATGGGAGCTTTGAAAGAAAGACCCTTGTGTTTGCCTGTGTTAAATTGTGGATGTGTAGGTGGTTTGTTTGTTTTTTTTAACTTAGATTTAATCGTTTATTGTTCAGCATCTTGGAACCCATCAATTCCACATTTGTTGAGCCGAATGTGTAACTTGGTCTCTAACTTTCCCTTATAAATGAGTGTACCAGGAGGTTGCAATCACTTGGAGTTAAGGTACTTTATAGATATGTAATAATCCACCTGGATTCTCTAAATTTGAGTTTAACACTGGGGAGTGACTCCCTTTTTCTCCCCCCTCCCCAACCCAAAACTGTTACTTTATGAGCTTTAATTTAGTGTTGTAGAATGAGTTCAGTAGCAGCTTATACCATAATATATTTTCCTGGTGACAGTTAGTTCTGGATATGATCCAGTATGAAGTATTTTAATCTGTCTATTATTCTTGAATTGTATAGTTAGTAAATTTAAACTCTCAATGCGGTATGCTGTGCGTGAATGATAAGATTACAAATGTAAGTAATTCAGTCTAAGCTTTGTGCACAGGTGAACTCATTTGGAGTTGTGCACACACAACTCCAATTGCTTAGTTTTGGGTCTTGTCATGACTAATCTTTCTGGAGAAAATTGTTTTTCTTCAATCTATATTCTTGGTTAACTTTGCTTTAGCAATTCTGGAAAGTCTTATTTCTGGCCGACCTAACACTTATAGACCATTATTCATAAGATTGGCCATGCCTTACATTTCAGAGTAAATCGAGGTAGTAATCCTGAAGTAGCTTGTCATTGTCTTCCTTGATCTAACTCTTGACTTTTGTACTACTTCTGGAGGAAAAAGAGCAGCGCTCTCCCCTTTCATATATTTTCATGTCCTTGTGTACTTGGCTCTTTGGGAATTGGCTGCTGAATTCAACCTTCCCTGCACTGCTGTGTTCCAGAATTGCTGCTTTCCTTTCATTAAAAGAGAAAAACACTCTTGTGATTCTGAAGACAAGCTTATAACTGAACTGTGATGGCTATGGAACTTTAAATGGGGAGCCAGGAAACATGCATAAAATAAAGATAAGATACAAAAAGGGTAAGGAAGTGGGATAAGGGCTAAAACAAATACAAGTTATATTGTGAATGGATATGAAATGGAGTGTTTTTAAAATTTGAGGTTGAGTAACTGGGGAGGAAAATAAGGGAACTCTGCAGTGAAAATCCAAGGAGAGGAAAAAGTCCATATTGAGGAGACAATGGAGATTATTCTAGGTATAAAGGGAAAGTAACAGGGAGAAAGACAGAGCCCATGGCACACAATGGAGTAAGGAAAGTGCTGTGCAGAGCTTTAGTGTGAGGGTGAAGAGTTCAAACCTGTATCTTCCCACATACATTTATGTGCTAGCTCAGGCCTGGTCTACACCGGGGGGGGGGGTGGAAATCAATCGAAGTTACACAACTTCAGCTATGTTATCGACGTATTTAGACCTACTCACCACGGTGTCTTCACTGCGGTGAGTTGACTGCTGCTGCTCCCCTGTCGACTCTGCCTGCACTTTTCACGGCAGTGGAGTACAGGAGTCAGTGGGAGAGCGCTCAGGGGTCGATTTATCGTGTCTGGTCTAGACGCGATAAATCAACCCCCACTGGATCGATCGCTGCCCCCCCGCCCCCCCCCCCCCCGATCCAGCGGATAGTGTAGACATACCCTCAGAGCTGTAGGACTAAGCATCTTAAACTCCATATACCCAAGTCTTTAGGGAACTGGGGGAGGGGAAGCCATGATGTTTAAGTGGCTTACAATCTATAGTTCATCGGATTCGTGAATGAATTGCCACCAAAGTATACAAGGCTTAAGATGTCAGCTAGCTAAAAGACTTTTATCATAGACCTATATCTACTTTACGGGAGGTTAGAAGATGGCAGGGACATAGCATAGTGGTAAACAGGATCATAAGGTTTGGGGTGCCTTTACTCTGTGCATTTTATACTTTTCAGTGAATGTGTGCAGTGTTTATTTAGATTTGTTTTTCCACATACAGACCCTCCCCAGGTTACGCAAACAGAAAAAGTTCCGTAAGTGGGTTTTTTCCCGTTATTATCAGGTATACATCCCCGACTTATGCAAAATTCGACTTATGCAAGGCGTTTCGGAATGCTTGCATAAGTCGGGGAGTGTCTGTATTGCCCCAGAATTGTGCTTGGCACTACTGATGTTAGGTCTCTTTCCCCAAGGAACGCGGAAAAGCATACAACAGAATTGTGAAGAGTCAGAGGACGTTATTTGCTACGTATTCATAATTAGGCTTCTCAGGATTCAGTTTGTCAATAAATGTTGGTAAACATGGATTTCAGCTGAGACGCTGAAATTGATTCGGGGTGGGGGGGGATCAATGGGCAACAGTCAGCAGGCCTGTGGGGTTCAGGTGGCACCAGCCCTGGGGCAGCGCAGGAAGCCCTCTCCAGCTCTGCTGTCACAGGAACAAGTGGGTTTATGACAGCAGTGGGGTTGCAGAGGGCTCCCTGTGCTGCCGCAGGGTTGGTGACACCGGAACCCAGTAGGCACAAGATGCAGGGAAGACTTGCAGTCCTGGGTGGCGGGATGGGGGGGGGAGGTTGTGATGCCAGGCCAGGACTGCAAGGAGGAGGACGAGTCCCTGGCCCTGGAGGCGGCCAGCCCACTGCAGAATGGCTGTTGGCCAGGAACAGCCATTTGGCAGCAGGTTGGCCTCCTCCAGGGCCAGGACTCATCCTGAGGGGAGGGAGGAAGAGAAGGTATCTGCTCCTCTGGGCCAGGACCTCAGCCTCCTGATGTCATGGGCCCCACTGTTGGTGCTGGGAACTCCCCACAGCCCCAACCTGACCTCCCCCCAGCTAGGAGAAAAAAACCTTAAATAAGAATCAGTATTGATTGTCATAATTAGAAAAAAATCTAATTCTGCCAGCCCTATCCATAAACTCTTAAGAGTCTGGCCCTGAACTTTATATATGTGAGAATAATTGAGTAGTGCCATGCTGAGAAAGGAATATACATAGCTTACAGGAAGAAGAGAAGGATTTTTTTTGTTTCTAGTAGGTAAGCATACAAATAAAATACTTCATTGCAATAGCATTTGGGGGGGGAATAACTCAAGTTCAGGCTAGGATATTATGTTTTACACGTGATTATCCTTCACTTTGTGGAGTTCTTAACCTTCTTTTTTTTGTTTTCCAGCTCCCTGCAAATGTTCGTTAATAGCACAACGAGCAGAACTGTGGATAACCATGAAAAACTATCAACAAGCTCTCCATGATGCAGATGCACTCTGCCAAAACAAACCCCTCTGGCCCAAGGTACAGTACTCACATATTTCTGTCTTTGAAGCATGAATCAGGGTTTCTTTGTGGTGAGGACAGAACGTTTCCAGGTCACTTTTGGAAGGCTAATTTGGCAACCAACGGCTAGAAACTTGAATGAAAGCATAAATTCTACATAAAACAACAAGGTCTGTGGTGGAACCTTAAATCTGTGCTAGTGCATGGAATTGCTGTGGCGTGAACATCCATTGGTCCTTCATGCTAAGGTCCACTGATCTGTTAAAATGGGTACATTGGCATGCTTGGAGACAAAACTAGACTTGTCAGTCACTGGCAGTAGGGGAATGCTCCACCTCCTGAAATTCCCTCTAGGTTTGTTTTTTTCCCCCAGTGGCTCAACCAGCCCTCTACACTGTATCACTTTTCTGAGGAAAATGCTACATTTATTTCAAAATTTTTAAACTCAAATTTTGTTCAAGAATGTGTGTATCTAAATCTCAGACATGACCCATGGCTGCACTTTTGGGGGGGGGGGTGGAGGGGAAGGGGAGGGAGAAGGAGGTTAGACACTGGAAAGAAATACAGGTTATATGGTACAGGTTATATGGTAAATTTTGAAGCAGTCCATTAAGTACAACAGGGGAAAAACTAATGCCTCTTTGCAAGTGATAGGTAGAACAAGTGCAGCATCAGAAGCCACCCACACTTGCCTCAGACCTATCTGTAGGTCTCCCAACTACCCCTATCTGAAGTTGAGCCGCATGACTGGTGCCAGACTCTCTCAGTCCAGAAGTAAAAGGGTTACCTATTGGTTTGCTCAAATGAGATCACTTGACATTATCCAGAGGGTCTGTGGAGCTGTGCAAGAATTTCAGGAAAAGCTGTGTTCCATTCCTGGTTTCCAACGCATGGAAAGGCCACAACAGGAATGGAAGCATCCATCTTGTACTTTTAGATCAGAGCATTGCAACCCACTCCCCATCCTATTTCTAACTTCTGCTCCATTTGAAAGAGTGCCGTGTGTCTTGAGAAAATAAAAGCAGTGTTCATTGGTCTCGTGTTACAATCAGTCACTTTGGAAATGTCGCTTTCACACACCTTTTGTTTGCATGCAGGGTCATTATGTGAAAGCACAAGCTCTTTCTGGATTGGGAAGGACTGAAGAAGCACTGAAGGAGTTTCTTTATTGTGTTGCCCTAAATCCTGAATGGAGCTTAATGAAGAAAGAAGCCCAAAAGGTACAGTAACTACATCATGCCACACTTTTTTCTTTTTTTTTTGTATGCGGGTCTGTTGTGCCCTACAGCTAAGGAAAATCTTTGGATTCAGATGCATTCCATGTTAATAAAAAAACAACAACCCATTTTGGCATAATATCAAATAAAACCTTAGTGCATCTAATTGCACAGTACTGTGCCATGGGAGAGACTTCTATCTCCTTGATCACCTCCTTGTCTTGCTTGTAGGTGAGTTTTACTAAACTGTGTGCCTTACCACTGTCCTGTGGAAGCAAGTTGCAGATGCTTATAGGCTGAGTGAAGTGAGGTCTAACCTCAACTTAATGGTGTCTGTCTAAGGGTACGTCTATACCCAGCCGCTAGTTCGGCGGCTGGCAATCGAACTTCTGGGTTCGACTTATCGCGTCTTGTCTGGACGCGATAAGTCGAACCCGGAAGTGCTCGCCGTCGACTGCGGTACTCCAGCTAGACGACAGGAGTACCGCGGAGTTGACGGGGGAGCCTGCCTGCCGCGTGTGGACCGAGGTAAGATCGAACTAAGGTACTTCGAACTTCAGCTACGTTATTCACGTAGCTGAAGTTGCGTACCTTAGTTCGATTTGGGGGGTTAGTGTAGACCAAGCCTAATAGAATTACTTCCGGAATTTCAGGGAACAGTTTAGGTTATCCGTGGGCACAGACCTAAATTTTGTTGGTGCAAATCAGAACACCGGAAAAGCATGATTCACAGGAAAATCAGACTCACCCATGCTGCAGGCAGAGAAATCCAAATCGACAGCGTAACTTGCTGTGTGTGGAGAGAGTCTGTAGCCTGGACTTTTTTTTTTTTTTTTATAAGAGAGTCTTATACAGAATATTGTAGGGGGTAGCAGGAACCAGGGTGGGGGAAGAGCATTGGCTTGGAGAAATTACAAACTTGGCTTGCACAATGTTCATTGCGAATTGGTAATTCTACTGTAAAAGTTAACAACACTGATGTGGTGGATGTGCTCTAAATGTAATGAAGGTTATACCTTTCAGTCTGTCTTGCTATCAGTAATACCTATCTCTGATGCGTCTATGCTGGGTTGGGTGGTGCCCATTTAAACAAAAATTTTTTGGTAAGAGCTCACTGGTCACCAAAGGAAAAGAATCTACATATCAGTATCTAAAAACAAGAGCAATCAGGTTGGCGCTAAAATCACTTCTGCCTCAAGTCAAACATAGGGTATGCCAGATCATGACAAACAATAGGACAGTGTTTATATTATCTGAAGAAATAAAGGGGAGTTCGTTCCCTACAATTGTGCATACAGGCAAGGTGTCTGGGATTCGTAACAAGGTGATCGATCACCCAATAACAATTCATGTATAGAGGGGAACAAAATACCCTTGTATATCACCTGAGCAGGTCGACCACTCAAATGCATAAGTAGAATCTAGATCTGATGCATATTTGGTATGGCTATTCTGCAGTGCTTTATTCAATTAGGATTCCATGGTCCCACCATCCTTCATCAGAGGACTATTGTCTCGTGGGGCAATATGCCAAGGGCACTTGAAGAAATGAAGGTTACTTACCTGTAACCAGCATATTCACACTCCCTGCCTGTTTTTCCCCACTGTCTTGGAGTCCACCTTACAAAGGGCTTGGCGCATGGGGAAGGAACTGAGGCAGCTGGAGTGCCGTGCCTCTTTTATACCCTCTCCCTGGAACATTGAGTGTTCACTGTGGGGAGGTTTGGGGAAGGCATGTGAGCGCTCCAAGAGCTACTGCTAGCTAGAGTTCTAACCGTGCAGGCTACACCTGTGAATATGCAGAGTACATCTTGAAGAACCCTGGTTACAAGCAAGTAATCTTCATTTAGACCACACACGTTTGTTTCTGTAACTCATCTCAAAATTTTTTTTCCTCATTTACTAGATAATGTGCGAGATGTTTTTCCCAGCCTTTGAAAATGTGCATGACAGCCTCACTGCACCTTTCTCTAGTCGGACAAGGTTGAAACCTGCATTTTTAAGCAGCTTAAATACTGTTGAAGATGGTTCTGCTGCTGGGTGCTCTGAGGTAAAGAATAAAATACTCAAACCAAATTTACTCTTGGTTTTAATATTAAGCATCTTGTTATATCCAATCTACCTGACTTGAATTGTTGCATATGTTTATATACAAACTTAATTATTACTAGTGCATCTCTTCCTTTCTCAAATTTTAGAGCACTATGATAAAAAGATAGAAGGAAGTATGAATTGTATTTAGATCTCTCAACACAGTTTAAAAAAAAAAAAACAACCCATGGCTGGCCAGCTGACTCGGGCTTGTGGGACTTGGGCTGTGGGGTTGTTTCATTGCTGTGTAGACTTCCGAGCTTGGGCACAAACCTGGAAATAGCCCCACAGTCCGAACCTGAGTCGAATGGCACGGGCTAGCCATGGGTTTTTCTTTACTATGTAGGCATACCCTGAGGCTACCTAATATAATTAGATTGGGGTACCACTTTCTAAGCGAGCCAAATTGCTGTTTTCATCATGTTTTAAATAACATTTTATTTTTGTTATTCTGTGTGCACTTTGAGAATGCACAATTATAATATGTCAGGAGAGGTGGTTAGAAAAGAATGAGAATTGTAATGAGAGAAATAGCCCTCTATTTCTGAGGCAATTGGAGCAAGTATCTCTTATTAGTATTGGCTCAGATCAGTTACCAGGTTGCCACCATGACACTACTGTCTTATCATTTCTATGGATAGAATTAGTGCAGAAAACGAGGAAACAAAATCTATCTGACTTTCACGCAGTTTGTCTCTTTTCAGGATACTGTATTCAGATTAACAAAAGCCCTGTCCCAAGAGCCCGATGTACTTCGCACTAATTCATCTCTCTCTCACAATGTACTGGATTTGCATTTTGAAGACAATAAAAAGTCATTGGGAACAATCCTCTCCAGCTTACCTAGTGCACGTTTAAAAAGAAAGCTATCCAGTGACTTGATGGATTTACAAAGCTTGGATGTCCCTAATAAGATTCCTAAAAAAGGTCTGTCCTGTTGTGTTTTGGGGGGGGGAGGTTGATGGGGGTAGTGGGGGTGTTGGGTTATGACACTCTATTTTAAAAGAGATAGGAAAATAACACTGCTTTGTTACTGTTTGTAGGTAAAACAGAGAGAGCGCTCTTCAGGTCTGGGAAAGGTACTTAAGCCTGGTCTACACTAGGAATTTACTTCAGTAGAGCTATGTCTCTCAGGGGTGTGAAAAATCCGTACCCGGAGAGACATAGCAATATTGACCTAGCCCCCAGCGTAGAATTCTTCCATCAACCTAGCTACCGCCTCTCAGGGCAGTTGATTACCTATGCGGACAGAAGAAGCCTTCCCATCGGTGTAGGTAGTGTCTATACTGAAGTGGTGCAGCTGTGTTGCTGTTGCATTTTAAGTGTAGACATACCCTCAGTGTGGACCAGATCTTAGTACAAGCAGTTAAGACACATTCTAAGAGACTATACAATGTGAAGTGGCCCATTAACACCTCTGCAATAATAGGACAAAAATGGGGAGGTAGTGGGTTACAAATTGTTGTAATAAACTAGAAATCCTGTCTCTTTATTAAGACCATCATTTTTAGTGCCTAGCGAAGTTATGAATTTAAGCTCCCAGGTTCATCTTTGGAGGGTGTTGTGTAGGTTTCCTTTGAGGATGAGTGCTGATAGGTTAGATATAGAGTGATCGCTTTGTGAAAAGCATTCACCCAGAGGTGATATGGTGTCTCTTTTTGTTTTTTGTGTGTGAGTTCACTCAAAATCATAGTGGGGAGCTTGCTTCTGGTGATGAGCGTGGTGAGGTGAGGGAGTTGTTTCAAGGCTAGAAGAGGGAGTTCAGGAAAGATTTCTTTCAGGATGTGGTTCCCATTGGCTGTGGGTTGCAATTGTTTGATACCCCATATGGGTTCTAGTGTGGGGTGGTAGGTGACAAGTAGGCATGTGTGGTCAGAGGGCTACACGGCTGCAACACTACTTCAGACAACTAGTCATTCTTGTTTGTTGTGATGAGCAGAGTTGAAACCCATGTCTAAAAATCAATATTGTTCCAGAGCAGTCTTGATTCATCTAAGGAATACACACTTCTGTTCTGCAAATGTTGCCTTTCTGATGCTTCATCCCCCAACAGCTTAGATATTGCGCTGCTAGTGACAAGAGTGCTGTAGTTATTAGGTCTCTGAGGTATAGCTAAACTTCAGAGTCTCTCTTTACATGAAAAAGATGCACAGTAAGCCCAAGGAGGGGGAGCTAATTTGCATCACATGTTAATATCTATTTTCCCCAGAAAACCAAGAATCCATTTAAAAGAGCAGTAGCCCCATCCATTCTGCTATTTGATGCATCTGCTTACATAGATATTTCAGGCTTTTAAAACAAAAATCTCTAACAGGGTTAGCAGTGTGAAGGAATGCTAGAAGGTAGTAATGTGCTGTATAGTGAAATAAGTGGTTAATGGATTGTTTTTTTTTTTTTAAATCTCCACTGTATTACCATTCATTGTTTCACCAAATGTTGAAGGTTAGAAATCTGACTTCTGCCTTGAAATTTACACGCAGAGTACCGCTGTCTGTTTTCCACCTCTCCACACACAACACATTTCTTCCAGGTAATAAAAATGGCCCCCCACCCTGCTGTGATAGGAAAACTCCTACAGAGTGGCCTGTGAACTGCAAACCCACCCAATCACCGGGGTGGGAAATGTAACCTTCCCCTACCTTCACAGTAAGGGATTTAGAGCCATTTCACACTTTAACTGTCAATTTACAGTTTACACAAGATGTGATGCCCTGTTACTGTCCTCTGAATAGCCCATTTAGGGTCCTGCTATTGTTCAGGGACCCCACACTCAAGATATAGGTTAAAGATAAACATTTTCTATGAAAACCACTAATCTATCAGCCACAAGACCCCCATGCCCTCCACCTCTCCCCTGTGCTTGATACAGGCCAGAGGATTGTGTACAGGTTGTCCCGTGACAAAGCATAGTGTTGTAACTTGCATGCAAGGGGGGGAACTTAATTTTTCATGTGGCATCTAGTTAGACTCCTCCACCAGAGGGTTAGGAGGCAGAGTTGCCAATGGTATTGGAACTTTTGCTTAGTACTTCTAGACTTTCTGCTGCTTAGGCTTTTTGAACTACAGTGTTAAAATTATTGGACAAAGATGCTGATCCTGCTGTGAGTTGTGCACAGATGAAGGAATCTGCCTGCAGAGATCTTATTGCAGGATCAGACCTTGTAAGCGCCAGAGTAACCATTATGGAGCTTATACTGCTACAGAGCTTCTAGGTCCAAACTTGTAGAAATCTTGTCTACAGGGAGACAAGACTTGTCCACGCGGTTTTGAGGCATTTGTAAGTTTCTCAAGACCCAAGAATTTAGGAGTCTGCAGATCTGGGGGACTTAGGCTGAACCTGTGAATTTAGTAAGGTCTCTTAGTCCAGCTCTTCTGGCTTCAGCCCTTAAACGCTCAGCCTGCTTGGTTTAGTCACAGAGCTTAATGCTCTGGGCTGTGCTTTAAGTTTAAAATTCTTGAAAATCAGGAATTCAGCTATACAGAACTTCCTAACAAAGCAGGCTATGCTAGAAGTTCGTTAATGCTCTTTACTCTTTTATAAACAGTGCCTGCCCTTGAGAACACTAAACATTATTGCAACAGCAAAGTTCTTAGATTCAAATGTGTTAGCACATTTACCTCCAGCCTTCCCAAAAAATACTTAAATGCAATAGTCCTGACTTCAGAGGGAGAAGGGGGTGTTAAAAAAACAAATGTGGAGTTCTTAAATTAAGCTTGTTTTGGGGGTGGGGGGGGGAGGTTTTTTGTTTGAAACATGAAACTCTTGAAACATTAAAACCTATTTCCAACTCTGAAGTGTTTTTTGTCTTGTCTCAAACTTTGGCTCTCAAACAATACCCTCTCAGAAAAGTTACCCTCTGGAAGGAGGTCATCTGTAATATTTAAGGTGGAAAGGAGTTTTTTGCGGGGGGAGTTTGTGTTCATAGAGAACAGATACAAAAACTGGGTTCATAGTAGAAAACTAGCATAGGGTCAATACTCCGATTCCATAATGTGTACGTACATAGTGCCTGCTTTACCTGAATGTTTGACATAGAGCTGTCCTCCCTTAGATGGAGATACTGTACTTGAAAACTCTGCCACCTCTGCATTACGTGAGATACCAGCAATCCTTGTGGATGCATCTGACTTCGAGTGTTCCCTCTGCATGAGGTATGACTGCATAGAGCTGAGAGTCTTCCTAAACTTTAGACTAAATTTATTTGGTTTTGAGGGAAGGGTTGTACTGGAAGCTATTCTAACATGAACTAAAGGTTTTGTTTCATCTTTGCAAAAATGTAATAAATGTTAACTTCACTGGAGAGGCTGAAATTATTTTTGCAACATGTCAACATAATGGATTTATTTTAAAAATGAAATCCCTTTCCCATCATAGGATAGAGACTAGATAATAAAAATGTCACATAAGATTGACTTGCAGGGGGAAAATAGCTTTAAAAATGATAGGCTTAGTGACTCATTACGATCTGTGTTGTTTGTGTGTTGGATGGAAATTATAAAGAACCAATTTTATTTTGTCCCAACTGTTGTGTTCAGGTTATTCTACGAGCCTGTTACCACTCCCTGTGGACATACGTTTTGTCTCAAATGCCTTGAGCGTTGCCTTGATCATAACCCGTATTGCCCACTCTGCAAAGAAAAGCTCTCTGAAGTAAGTTTGTATTTGTGAGGGGTTTGTTTAGAAGCTCTTATTAAGATCTTGGCATATTGTGCAAAATCTCTTTGCATACATACAGCTGAACAATATAGGGCCAACATAGTAGTCTTGTTGTGCTCTTCCCAGACGTATTCTGAATACGAACACTAGTATTTATTAAGGTGTATTAATAATCTGGAGCAGGCTGTAGGGAAGGGAAGTACTGACCAAAATTGTTCGCGTTACTTTCTCACATTGAAATTAGGCGTTTTAGTTTTTGTCTGAACAGTCTCTAACAAATATCAGGGGGTAGCTGTGTTAGTCTGTATGCACAAAAACAACGAGGAGTCCAGTGGCACCTTAAAGACTAACAGATTTATTTGGGCATAAGCTTTTGTTGTTTTTGTAGTCTCTAACAAAGACTGTGAAAATGCTGAAGAGGCCGTACTGTCATTGCAGTATCTCTACTGATACTGTGTTGGTGAACAAAATACGCTTCTGGCCATTCCGGTGTAGAGAATGTATGCTCAGCTGCAGGAAATGTGATTCCCAAATATTTAGACTCTTCAGGTGGCAATAACTTGGCAGCTTTAGAGTCAAAAGGGATTATGTCCCTTACACTAAGTAAAGAGGACTAGAGGTTGACAAAAGTGTTTTGGGCTTTTGTGGTGATGGGGGAGGGTGGCAGAAAATATTTAGCAGAAAAATGCTGATTTGCATAGACCAAAAAATTTCACAAGCTCCTGTCTGCTTCAGCTAGTTGTTTCAGTCAAAATGGGGAGGGGGCAGGAGGGTTAAGGCTCAGAAGAAATTCAGAAATGTCAAACCAGCTTTGTTTCAACACTTCTGAAACCTAAACATTTTGTTTTTGTTCGTTTAAATTCACCAAACTACAAGTGGTGTTGAACACTTACACCCTTTAGCCTGGTTAAAGCACCCTCCCCCCTTCTCTCCTACTGAAGCTGTTACACTTTACATACATGATTAAATATTCATTGGAGCAGGGACTGGAACCTGAGTGGTGCCTACCCTCCCAGGTGAGTGCCTTAACCACCGGGCAATAGTTATTCTCATTTGCTCACTCTCTCTGGTCCAGTGAATACTTAAACACTTTACACGGAGTGGAGTAGCTTCAACAGAAGAAACTGAGAATATTCTCTGACCCTGGTGGTTGGGGCAGTTACCTGGGAGTGGTGGAGACCCAGATTCAAGTCCCTGTTCTAGAGTGGGGATTTGAACCTGGGTTTTCCACATTCTGGGTCAGTGCTTTAACAGCTAGGTAATAAGGGACCATCGCTATCCAAAATGTTTTTTCTTTAGATGGCCTGATACAAGTTTTTCCCAACTCTTTTGATATGCTGAACCAAACATGAAATATTTTGGAATTTTTGAGTCAAACTGAATTGTTTTCAACTCTTTGGGACTGCCAGTTAATTGCAAGTCAGTTATTCTCACAGGTCTGAAGAGTACCTATTTTTTTTTATTATGTTGTAGAGCCTATGATAAATGCACCCTTCTGGAAGTTTATGGGCACTGAAGTGAATAGTGTGTCCACTCTTGTATCCCAGAGATAATGTAACATTTTTGAAAGGGTGAGAGAGGAAGGGGGATTAGAACAACTTTACATCAGGAAGCTGCTGCATTCATTGTTTTGTCACTGTTTGCAAACCATCTTGAGCTATCTTGCTCTTGGAATGGGGACTAGACAGAACTGATTAAATATTAGTACTTAAACTTTAACTCTCTTCTCTATAGTTTTTGGCAAGCAGAACTTATAAAAAGACTGTCCTTACAGAAGAACTAATAGTTCGTTACTTGCCGGAAGAATTGTCAGAAAGAAAGAAAGTTTATGAAGAAGAAATGAAGGAGTTATCAAAGTAAGTTGTTTTTCGGTTGTATCTAAATGTTGTAAAATTTTATTTTGGTCCAGATTACTGAAGAAACCTTTAATTTATTTATGAAAGTAGGTTTCAAAGGTTGACTTAATTTGTTCCATGCTGGCATGTTTGTAGTAGATAGTAATCAAGAAAAAATAGGCTTGGATGTGAGAGGTGCACAACATCAATGGAAAATATTAATTTTATTTGGCAATAAATATAGTGATTTATTTCTATGAATAAAAAACCCATAATTTAAAACTAATTAAAATATCTTCCCCGAAAGTAGGAAGTGGGGGATTAGGAATAGGAGAAACATGTACTTATAAGCATGTGCATTGGTTACTTTATCCATGATTACTTGTATTTGCCATATAGCTGAATTAAAAAAAAAAAATCACAACAGAAAAATGAAAGTAACATGAATGTATGTTACAAAACTAGAGGCTGAAAGTTAACTCTGTCCCTGAGTCCCCGTTTCCACTGAATTCCTACAAACACTCAATGTCACTTTGGAATATAAGGATTGCTTTCCAGCCATGTTTAAAGTATATGTAGTGTACAGTAATATATCTTTTTGAAAATTACAGATAAAAGCTGTAAAAGACTCGGTGATGTGCAAATTAGATGCTTTTTTCCATGCACATGCTTGAGACTGTGATTGCATTTTCCAAACGTTCTCTGTTAAAACCAAAGAATGGAGGTATTGGTACCTAGAGTACATTAATAGCTGGGAGAGCCCTTGGTTCTCTGGTGCCTGTGAAAGCAACGCATTTTTGTTGGCCAAGAGCTTATTTTACGAGAAACAAGTCTGAGAAACCACTCTAATCAAACCTCAACTATGAGGTTTTGTGCTGAATAAATATAGTATGCGGGAGGAGACTGACTGTTCATATTTGTATTTTTGCAGTTTGAATGAAGATGTTCCCATCTTTGTGTGTACCATGGCCTTCCCTACCATCCCTTGCCCACTTCATGTCTTTGAACCTCGGTATCGGCTAATGATAAGAAGATGCATGGAAACTGGTACCAAACAATTCGGCATGTGCTTAGCTGATGAACTAAAAGGGTAAGGAATCTTGTTGAGAACATCCCTGTCGTGACTTTTGGAAACAAGTGGAGAACCATAGTACTGTTGGTCTTCCACAATGAGTTGGATCCGTTTTAGGTCTCATGCTAGCAGATACAAATGTTAAGGGGGGTTTTGTTGCCAGGTTTTTATATAATCTATAAACATCCCCCTTTCTACTGAAGTTTCTAATATCTCAATGTTAGACCCAGAAAGTTGACTTATGCGCTAGCTATCCATCCAACTGCCTTTACGTATTCCTGGAAAGTGTGTTTCATTGTGGATATGCTTTGGAATAGTTATGTTATATTTAACTAGAAAATAGTAATATGTCAAAAGACTGGAGTGCACATGGCATCTATTTCCTATTACATTATGTATGATTGGTTTGGGGTCAGTAGTACCACAGAGAGCCCATTATGACAATTTCTGATCCACAGTTTGGTTCCCAGTAAAGTCTGTTGACTAAATCAAGGTGAGGGTTGCTTTTCTGTCTGTTTCCTCTGTAAGGGTATGTCTACACAGAGATAAAAAGCCCCTGGCTGGCCTGGGTCAGCTGACTCAGGTTGTGGGGTGTGGGCTCTGGGGCTGAAAAATTGCACTGTAGATGTTCGGGACTGGGATCCTCAGGGGGTGGAGTCCCAGAGCTCAGCCTCCAGCCCCAACCTGAAGTCTACACAGCAATTTTTAGCCCATGAGCCTGAGTCAGCTGACTTAGACCAGCCACAGCCGTGCCATCAGTCTTTTATCCCTGTGTAGATGTACCCTAAAACAGCTTCCTGTCTCCTAAGCTTTGGGTTCAGATCGGACTTTTATGAATATCCTGGGTTAATAAAGCTGGACCATACAGTAGGTTTTTAAGTGGAAATTTAGGCTCTTTGAATGAGAATTACATGCTTGGTGGATGAGGACGCTAGATATGAGCTTTGCATTTGTAGGAATCGAAGAATCCTAAAGAGATCATGGACATTCTATTTCCCCTGATGGCATGGTGTAGCTGTGAGCATGTACAGCGGAATCTTACAGTGAATTGCTGATTCCTTTGGAAGAGAGAGGAAGTGGAGAATAACTGGATTCTCTGCTTTGTCCTTGGAGCATGCAGAACGGTTTCCAAAATCCTCCCCCTTCTGGGGGTTTGGCTTTATTGGTAACCTGGAAATAACACCATGTAAACCTCAACTTAAGCTGCTTCTCAAGTGTGGCTGTTAGGATTATCTGTAAGACCACCTCTGGCTTAATTCTTTCTGGCACAGACACTCCCATCACCTTGCTAGAAGAGAGACAATCGCTGCTCTGAAGAGCTTACCTCCTGACTTGTACAGTGCCTGGCACAACATGGTCTCAATCTTGGTCAGTGTCCCTAGGTACTACAAATAATGTATTCACACTGGAGGTACTGGACCCACCTACCATCATGACTCAGCAGTAATTACCCTGAATTTTAATGCATGAATTTAACTCCAGTTGCCTTCTTCTAAACGGGTGTAGTGTGTAACCCAGTTACATGGAGTTTCTCTAGAACAGGAGAGGACTTTCCTGACAAAATACCTCTTCCTGGTTGCTCTTCCAGTTGCGGGTGGCACTGTCAGCTAATGGGTGGGGAGTCTCTGGTTGGTGTCTCTTACCAGCAGAGACCAGCTGTAGTAATATCAGCAACTAAGGTTTCCTCTCCCCTGTTCTCTCCTTGCTTTCCCCTGTAAGTACTGGTGGCAACTTCTTTTCCTTCTCTTCCTTCTCCCCACCCAACCAGAAATAAGGAGAGAGGGAGAGGAGTAATAATCCTCTTGGAATGCATCATTATCTACATGGTGGCTGATAACTTACTCCTAAACTTCATAGGCCTTGGCTGCGCTCGCGGCAGCGCTGTGAAGCGCAAGTGTAGTCGTGCCGCCAGCGCTGCGAGAGAGCGTGCAGGGCTGCAGGCGCTGATTACACTGGCGCTTTACAGCGCTGCACTCGCTGCGCTCGGGGGGGGGGGTGTTTTTTCACACCCCTGAGCGCAGCAAGTGCAATGCTGTGAATTGCCAGTGTAGCCAAGGCCTTAGAGTGCATCAGAACTTGCTTACAATGGAGTGTTAATTAACTTTGAACATCTTGTGCCAAGATTCAGAGGGGTAGCCCTGTTAGTCTGAATCTGTAAAAAGCAACAGAGGGTCCTGTGGCACTTTTAAGACTAACAGAAGTATTGGGAGCATAAGCTTCCGTGGGTAAGAACCTCACTTTGTTTAATCCTTTGCAAATTTGACACAATCAGATCAGGATTAAACGAAGGCTGTGAATGGCTATCCAACTACAGAAGCAGTTTCTCCTCCCTTGGTGCTCACACCTCAACTGCTAGCAGAGCACCTCACCCTCCCTGATTGAACTAACCTCGTTATCTCCATACTGATTTATACCTGCCTCTGGAAATTTTCATTACTTGCATCTGAAGAAGTAAGGTTCTTACCCACGAAAGCTTATGCTCCCAATACCTCTGTTAGTCTTAAAGGTGCCACAGAACCCTCTGTTGTTTTGTGCCAAGATTGTTTTTGCTAAAATGTCCCACCATTGTCTTCGTTATTGGAGCTGAACCAGTAGTAGCAGCAATGGGAACATTTATCAGAGGCCCAAGTAGAGTAAAAGTGTGTTGAAGCAATAAAAGACATTCTCTTCACTTGCACAGCTTCAGCATCTTCTCTAGGCACTACTATGCCTTCCTCAGCAATGTAATAGAGCTATCTCTATAAAATAGTTGCAAACCCCTGTATAACTTGCCCCCAGCACTCAGGAACTCACAGCATGAAATCTGCTCCATTTATTTAAAAACCTGCCCCTCCCTCCTTCCTCACAAATAATTCTAATTTTAAAAAGCTGTTGCTTTAATTGTGTGTGTGTGTCTTACCAAAAGCATCATTGTGTTGGAAAATCATGGAGGTACTTTCATTTTTCCACCAATGTAACAGTGGTGAATCGGGTCCAGTATGTTTATAAGTGTCCGAACTTATATAAACACCTGTCAGTGTGACTTCCTAATTTTCTGTGCCCTTTTATCATTTCAGGTTTGCCGATTATGGCTGCATGCTAGAGATCAGGGATGTAAAGTTTTTTCCTGATGGGCGTTCAGTTGTTGATACAGTTGGTGTTCGTCGGTTTAAGGTCTTGAACCATGGTCAACGGGATGGGTATAACACTGCGAACATTGAATATCTTGAAGATAAAAAGGTGATCTCTTGTGCATTCATGTTCACTTAAATGTTCTGTCCCTGACACAGCTCAAGTTGAAGTTATTTATTTACATGGTCATAAGGCACATTTTCTTTATTTCTGAAACCATGGAATAAATTATTTTGCCCTTCTGACTGTAACTAGCTCTCTGTAGTTTAATCCTCTCTGCCATTGGTATTTGTCATCATAAATCTCAGGGTAGCTTTCAAATCTTTGATACTCGAAAAGATACAAACTACCATGTCCTGTTTAGATCAGGTTCTAAAGAGGCAGTTAAAAATGACACTGGTTCAAGACCCTTCTAAAGACACACATGTCTAAGTTTTATTAAAGTGCTTAAGATTCCATATTTTGCATTGATGCACAGTATCTGTTTCTAACTCCCACAGATGATCTGACCTCGCCATACACTGAATAGAAAAGCCTTTTTTTTTTTTCTTAAGGTAGAACCCAGAAGAGAACTTGGTACTAATATATTTTGTTACACAAGCATTTGAGTATGCATGGCATCTAAGGAAATTTACCAGTTAAAATAACTTTCTTTTCTAAAATCTGGTGATTTCTAAAATTTAGCGAAATCATGTGTTTGGAATTTATTGGCCAAAACCAGAATGGCCTGCATAATGGTCTAGTCTTATGCTGGATATCTCAAATGAATGCCAGTAAAACAGTGATACCACTTCACAGTGCGCTCATTGGAGAGTTCAGGCCAGTGGATGGCATTAGAAAAGTCCAGTCAGGTCACATGGTTCTCAAGCAGACTTTCACAGCTAACTGCAAGCCTGTTAATTTCTAGAAGGCTTCTCCCAATTTGTGCTGTGCAGTTCAATTGCCAACAAGCACACAGAAAGAGAGAATGGGGATAAAATGTCTCTTCAAGGTTAAAGTGGTCTAATATCCCATGTTACCGCTCGGGGTCCCCACTGAGTGAAGGTGAAGTATATAGTCAAATCAGATGTTTGTGTATGTTGGCAGAAACCTGGTTAATATCATCCCCGGTACTGGGAAGTCAGTCTCACTTACATACTTGTTTTGTTTCTCCCTGCCATCCTTCCACTACTCCCTTGACCTGAGAACCACTTCTACTGTATTTGAAAACAACACTACTACTACTTTGCAGAAGCCCCAGGAGGAGGGCTCCTCATTCTCAATAAGAGGAATTCCTAATCAACTGAAGACTCCAATAGCAATACTTATAACTTGGTTGCTGAAAGGACCTAAAACTTCTGTAGGAGAGATCAAAAAACCAAACTGGCACCAGTTTAGGATGCATGAGACTTATGCACCACTTTGCTAGCTGGAGATATCCACGTTAAGTGGCATAACCATCCCTTAGTAAGGAGTAGTTGTTGCTCTTAAGCATAATTGGGTTAAAATTGGCTCCCTCTGAGTCATTTAAATTGTACAGAATATGATATCTGATTTTGTATCCTTTTTGTTTTTTTTCTTGGTAAGGTGGAGGGAGCAGAGTATGAAGAACTTGTCCGTCTTCATGATTCGGTTTATGATCAAGCTGTTGCCTGGTTTACTTCCCTTAAAGACAACATGAAAGCACAAATTCTCAATCATTTTGGATCAATGCCAGGAAAAGAATCAGAGCCACAGGTAAATATTTCCTAAACATGCACTACTGCCGTACAAATATCTGATAGAAGGATCTGTTGTGTCTCATACATATCAAGCTTATTAATGATTACCCAGTTCTGGTTCACTAGAATCAAGGTTGGAAAAACTTTGCCAACTACTCCCTATGGCTTTGGCTTTTGAAGATGTCATTGCTACTTACTTACACAAAGAGGAAACATTTGAAGTTGGTGTAGAGCTCAAGAAACCCCCAATATATAGATGGGCATTAGTTGTATCTACTAAAATAGAGGAAAAATGGGAGGGAAGGTTGCTAACACTAACCTGTAATCCGTAAACACATATCTTTTTTTTTTTTTTTTTTTATTTCTCTTGCAGAGTAATCCCAGTGGCCCAGCCTGGTACTGGTGGCTATTGGCAGTGTTGCCATTAGAAAACAGGGCTCAGCTGGCTATACTTGCTATGACTTCCCTTAAAGATCGTCTTATTGCCATCAGACGTGTATTAATATTTGTAACACGCAAGAGACCCAGATGACATGGACTTAGCTGTGAACAGGCACTGACTGTATGTTGGGAGATATGGTTTTAAAAACTGTCATGCAGAGATGAACAGTTCTTTCTGGCTGTGTCTGACATTCACTATTCTGGATGTTCACCATACTTTGCACTCTACTCTGTAATTAACAAGCACTCTGTGCCTGTCGTCCTAGTGAAATCTGAGCCCCTATGAAGTTGTGCTACAATTACAATGTAGTTGGTAGTTGTGGATAACTACTTTGAAGTACTATTCCTAATCAAGAATTGATGTTTCTAGCCTGTGAGAGACTGAGTTTTAAGTACTAGAACACCACAAATGGCCTATGTGCAGTTTGGATTTACACTTCGCAAGAATTATTTTCCCTTCAATGGATCACAGACTGAAGATGGACTTATTACAATTTTCCTGAGATGGTCAGCAGAAGGGAAACTGAACTTTCCTGTTGATAAAGAATGCACAAAGTGCATAGCTGACAGGATGTTCTCTTAATGAGTTGGTAGATTCTCTCTGCACTTTGATCTACTTGTTCTAGAAATATTGGTCTATAAAACAATTTTCAAGATTAAGGTTTTGGAGGTTGTCCAGGAGCGTAGTATTTACATGGTCATGGCTGTGTGTCAGAAAGAGTAGTAGCTACTGAACAGCAATTTGGTAGTCTTAAGTAATCCCTTGTGTTGTGATTTGCATGTTGTAGTGGAATGAGTATCAAAAGTGTGCATTTATTTTTATAAAATCAAAGTAATCCCAGCTGGTCTGTTATCACTAAACACAAACCAAACAAATTCTCTAAAACATGAAACTAGTCAAAGGCTGTTGTGAAATAGCTATTTCACTCCAAATTCTGGGAAAGCGTGCTGTAGTACTCAGCTGATGTGTATTCTTAAAGTAAACTTGGCTAGGATAAGCATTGGGGAAGATTCCATTTCCCTTCCCACCTTCAAATGATGTGCCAAGCTAATGTTACATCAGAACAATATTTGTTAGAACTGTGTTTAAAAGTTAGGGTTATGTTTTATATCATAAGTACTGCACGTGGTTAGAACCTTGGTCTGTGATGACATCATAGAAGGAGGTCCAAACTAAACTCTAACAAAAGGCAAGTCTCAATGCAAGCTTAAGTCAGGTGTCCCCTTCATTTGTTTGTCTTAGTTTTTAATATATTGGTTGTGTTAATATCTATCTTTGATAGCTATTGAATATGTTGCTGGTTAGTCAAACTACTTAGTTTTCTAAATAGCCACTGAAATAATGAACAGTGTTACTAATTTGTGTAGCTTCCTATAAGTAGAAGTAATTTTACCAACATGAAAAGTTAGCCAGAATCTGTGCGCTTGAAGTATAGCGAGATGCTTTTAGAGACACTTGTTCATGTGCAACACTCTGGTATGATAAAAATGGTGTCTTATCGACATGTTTAAAGTGCCTAGTTTTTAGTTTGCTTTAAATCTTTTGTTTTGTTTTTGTCCATGAAGATATATATTAAAAATTTGCACATGAGTTCTGGAAGAAAACTGCATAAACAAATGCATTAACATGTATTGACTGCTTTCTTGGATACTGTAATTACAACTTTTGTGGTCTGGGAAACTCAAGTATCTAGTACAGTGGGTTTCAAACTTTTTTCATTTGAGGTCACTTACAAAAAACTTCAAATGGAGGTGTGGACCCCTTTGGAAATCTTAGACACAGTCTATGGATCTGCAGGGGGTCCATGTACCACAGGCTGAAAACCAGTGATCTAGTTAACTTTTCTTTCAGCAAACCTTTACCAGAAACAGTTTCTGTAACCTGCTCTGAATGTACTGTAATTGCCTCTACCTTGAACGCGCCTTTTCTAGTTAAATAGTGATTTGTAATTTATCCTTTCAATTGTGAAGTGCATAACTTACAACCAATGATGTCGTAATCTCCACAATAGCCTTGCTGCAAGTTCTGCTACCGTCATAAGAGTACTAAAAGTAAAAGCTGTATGAGATTCCTGAGAGGGTTGAGAAGGCATCCGAGCCCCAAAGCTGCAAACAAAACAGCTTGAAGTCTTATGGGGCACTTCCCCCTCCATCCATGCATTAGTAACTCTCATACTTCACCCCAGTGTTTTTCCAGTTAACCCATTTTAGACTACCAGCTCTTTAGGTAGTTCACCTTCAGAGTTTGGCAACCCAACTCCTTTTCAGTTGGGAAAATGAATTCTCTTTGTGAACTTTCACATTGTTTTTTATTCTGTATGCCACTCTTGTCATCATTGTCCTTGCTGTCTTTTTCTTACTCGTCCATGTCTCTCTCCTTGTCGTTCATGCATTGAGTTTTAATGTTTTGGCTGCAAAGGGACATTGACAGAATCATGCAATCCTAGACCTTGCACCTGCACAGTGTTACATATGAGCTTAACCTTACACAGATATGCATCCTTTTAGAATTGAAATGTTAGTTGCTGTCTCCTGGATTCTAATTACTGAAGGCAATGTGAATTTCTCCTCTTTGCAAAAGCCCGTGATTTAAGATCTCTGTCCTTTAAGTACTTTTAAAAGTGACACTACAAAACAAAATGTTACCTTTAATACATCATGGAACAGCAATAAAGAAGACGTAAGATTGTCTAGCTTTTTTGCATTAAATTACATTACAGTCTAAGGATGCCAGGATAACTAATGAAATGTCATCACTTGAGTGAAAGCTGAGCGACAGAATTTTTGGTGAGTTTTAAACTATTTCTAGCACAATGGGATCCTGGTCCATGACTGGGGCTCCTGGTGTTATGTTAATACAAATAATTAATATTTGTTTTTAAACACTTAAGTGACTAACATTTTGGATAAATAATATGAAATAGTCCGTATCTGTATGCAAATGTTAAACTAACAACCCAAACTCAGTTTCTTCCAAAACCTCAAATACTGGATCATATAGTAAAGCTAAAAAGAAGCCCTATTCATGGGCACATAGTCTCTAGGGGTAGAGTGCATGCTTTATTCCTACCAAGTTCTCCGTCGTGGTTTGTGCAGCAGCAAATAGATGGAGGAACAAGTTGCCTCTTCTCTGGATTAGAGGCAAATGTCCATATTGCAGCTATCTTACATCTTTACTTAGTTCTGGTCTCCATGGTACAGTATTGAAACCGTGAGCTAAGGAGCTGGAAAAAGAAAGGGGGGAGGGATTGCTCAGTGGTTTGAGCATTGGCCTGCTAAATCCAGGGTTGTAAATTCAATCCTTGAGGGGGCCATTTAAGGATCTGGGGCAAAAATCTGTCTGGGGTTGGTCCTGCTTTGAGCAGCGGGTTGGATTAGATGACCTCCTGAGGTCCCTTCCAACCTTGACATTCTATGATTCTATGAAAAGACAGGTGTTCTGCTGCCCTTTAACACACTACATTTTTCATACTTATTTCCTAGCTTGGGCAATGTGGTAGGAAAGTCTCCACTTTGGAGAGATCCTTTATACATCATAAAGAAACAAAAATGTCCAAATCTATTTTTTTCCCCCTTGTGAGTCACCTGTAAGACTTCACAAAATATTTTGTAGCTTCACCTTTCAAGAAGCATGTACATTGTGCCATCAAGGCCTTTGTTATCTACTGTATTTTAACATATCCAGTCTGTTTCATTTAATCGATTGCTTTGGACTTCTAACATGCTGATGATCAGTTCGGTTTCTTACTGCTTCCCTTTCTCATGCTCGAGTCCATTTTGAAACTGAAATATAAAGCTATTGTTCAAAAAGCTGTACACTCGGTTCATATTACCTTTCACACTGGTGGAATTGGTATTTGGTAGCGCCTTAAATTTGCAGTTGTGAAATGATTGTATCAATAAAAAAATCTCATCTGGGGCTTGTGACCAGATTAAAACAAGTATGTGTAATGTAGATAAACTTGAAACAATTTTTTTACTGTTTTAAAGCTAGTTAGGAAACTGTATGTACATATGTATAAATATAAATTAAACCGCCATTTTGTATTTAGTAAATTCAGGACAAGTCCATGTTCTAACCACATTTGGTACTTGTTGCATAAGCAAAGCCAACCTTTTTTTTAAAAATTGCAATGTTCATTTCATGTATATTTGCAATGTTCATGGGAAATGTATTTAATTTATGTGACATTTTGAATAAACAGATCACATTTAGCAGTGTCTTTTTTAACAAAAACCCATCCTATGTGAAATGTTAAGGTTACTTGGAAGTGTGCATCTGTTCATCTATTGCTGTTAGATTGGATTTAGGGCTGTAGGCCCTTGTAATCAGTTTCCGTTAGCACTTCTTGTAATTTTAAACACCTTAATTGTCTGTAAATCTGTCTTGGGGCAGACCACTCAGACAACACATGCGTGTTTTCCCAAGAATGCTTCTTTAACATGATGTGGAGTAGGGGTTGGAATTTTTATTTAAGTGGGGTCAACAAACTACTGTTACAAGTCTGAAGCTCTTTGTAAGAGGTCCTGGTGATTATAGATCACAAGTGAAAGAGGATGGTGGGAGAATGTATTACACTTCCTATATCAAAAGGTACTCTTGGGTTTCCTTTTTTCTCTTCCTCTTTGTAGTCTTTTCTGGCACGTAAGCACCTTTTTTCCCAGTTGATCCCTCATGAGATCTGCTTTAAAGCGGTAGGAGTCTCTCACTCTTCACTAGCTATGACTAAGGCTATGTTTTAGTCATGGGTATTTTTAGTAAAAGTCACGGGCAGTAAACAAAAATTCACGGCCCGTGACCTGTGCATGACTTGTACTATATACCCCTAACTAAAAGTTGGGTGGTCTGGGGCCAGCCCAGGGGTGCCGCCGGTGGTAGAGGGGGCAGGGGACCCCTGCTTCTGTTGGAGAGGGGGGCTGGCAGGCTCCCTTCATGGTTCCCTGGAAGCAGCAACATGTCCTTCTGCTCTTAGGCAGAGGCATGCTGCCCCCGCCCCAAGTTCCAGCTCCCATTGGCCGGGAACCATGGCCAGTAGGCGATGTGGGGGTGGCGCAGGGGGAGGCAGCACGCACAGCCACCTAGCTGCGCCTCCGCCTAGGAGCCAAAGGACATATTGCCGCTTCCATGGAGCCCCCCACCAAGGTAAGTGCTGCCCGGAGCCCTCACCCCCTCCCACACCCCAACCCCCTGTCTCAGCCCGGAGCCCCCTCCCACACTCACTCCTGCTGGGGTGGGGGTACGGTGGCCCAAACCTGCCCCAGCAGCAGCTGGCCCAGGGGCTTCCTGAGCTGCTCAGGCGGCCCCCAGGTCAGCTGCACCGGCCGCTGCAGAAATCACAAAGGTCCCGGAAAGTCACAGAATCCGTGACCTCCATGACAGACTTGCAGCCTCAGCTAGAAAGCTGTCTCCTTTCTAAAAAGAGGCTAAACCAGAAGCTTTCTAAGATGGACTATCTACTAAGTATCAGAGGGGTAGCCATGTTAGTCTGTATCCACAAAAACAATGAGGAGTCCGGTGGCACCTTAAAGACTAACAGATTTATTTGGGTAATTCGTGGGTAAAAACCCCACTTCAGAGGCATGGAGTGAAAATTACAGATACAGGCATCTTGTCAGCATACAAGTGTAATGTAGTTCCTTTCTTGGCCAGTCAATGCCATTATTGAGGCATCTGGATGAGATGCTGAAAACTAATGTAGCTGAGGCACTTTGCACTGCCATGTCATGGCACCCCTGAAGTACTGCAGGAGCTTGTCCTAGAGTGAGTAATTAAGTCAGACCTATGGTTTGGGGTTAAGAAAATTAAAACCAGTCCCTATGACCATTTTAAAGGAGGCCAAACTCAAGGCTAAAATAGCCAATTAGAGTCAATTGGACAGCGGTTGTCTCTGTTCAGAAGCACTATTTAGTGTACAGTAATGCTAGAATTTTTTGAGACCTCTGCCATTCTTGGTGGAGTGTGCTGTGGTCTAGGCATTGCCAGTTATTCTTACACCATGCTACCAGGAAAAATGGAAGGCTGCTCCCTGAGATCTGGGCCTAAAATAAACTTATTTCTGTCTGGGCCAGGTTTGTCAGTGGAGAAGTGGGTAGCTGACTTGTCATTTCTCCCTCACCCCTGCTAGAAGCCTAGGAAATAATCTAGAGTTGGAAGCCAAACAAAATGGCTAAGGAGTGAAAGGCATCAGACAGCTGACACAGGTTAGACCTTCCCCCCCCCCCCCTGTGCAGGCTAAGTAGAAAGAGCTGGACCTATAAAAAGAAGGTGGAGGAAACGTTTGAGGATCTGATACTTTCACTATGGTATCTGATAGCATGGCAGTCAATGCAGCAGCTGCTGAGCGTGAGAGAAGAGGGGATTTTGGATGAGGTGCGATGGAACAGTTGGAAATGAGATGCAGATGACAGGAGCCTATCACTGCAGAGAATATGTAAAGGAATCTGTGTGACTACAGAATCTGTCTGTTTCAGTGAGAGGAAGAGGCTGGGGTGAGCAAGAGAGAAAGTAATTGCGTTATTTGAATTCTAAATAAGTGTCTCAAGGCCCTGAGGTGAGTGGGGCCTGGTTGTGTAAGGCACTAGACAGAATCTAAATAAACAAGACTGACCAAGGGTGGGGGTGGGGGTGGACATGGACGCATGGAGTAGTGAGCTGACTCACCCAAGGGGTCTCAGCAGGTTAGTGGCAGAACCGAGAATAAACTCAGTCTTTCTGCTGCCAGCCCACCAGCCTTTAACTGTTGCCAGCGTGTGGGGCGCTCACTGCAGAGAGCAAGGGGACAGCAGGTAGTGAATGGGAACAGAAGGCAAGATCCTGTGCCATGAAGTCAATGGGTTTTGCTGTTTACTACAATGGGATTGAGCCAAAAGATAATATACAGAGCCTCGGGCAGAGGGCAAGAGTTGGGGCATCTGGGAAAGGACAAGATTCAGACACGTGGCTGGCTACGGAGAAGGAAGTAAGAGTGAGAGATTTGTGAATGGGAAGAGGCAGTGCTGATGGGGTGGGGGGATAGTAAAGAACATGAGACCAGAAGAAAAGGGGGAGTTAGAGATGAATACATAAAATAAAAAGTGGGAGGCAATGGAACAGGGATAAGGATGGAGGCTACATAGTTACTTTCTCTGTTTCAGAAATTCCAGCATAGGGAGCTTGGGTTGCTGATTTTTAAACCTAACCCGATTGGTTTATAATTAAATAAATTTCCAAATTAGTCCCCCCCCCCCCTCAAATATTGAACTGGTTTATTGACTCTTAACATTCATAGTTGAGACACTGTAGCCACCCGCACCTAGTCTTTGGTTTGAAATAGTCAATAGATGTACCTTACAAAAATGTGAGGATGTATTCTCTGCTCATACTGGCTTTCGCTTTTCTGCCAAGGAGCTATGCAGAAAATATATAAATGCAATTTTGAGGGTTAGAGGAAAATATTGATAGATTGTAGAATATCTCAGTAGCTCTTGCCATGAAGGGGAATCTCGGGCATGATAGCTGACCTAATACTGGAAATATATATTCTAAAAAATTACTTTTTATTTAATTAAAAAAAAAAAGGCTGACTTCAGCCAGGTTTGTGCTCCCTTTATACCCTGTTTCCCCGAAAATAAGACAGTGTCTTATATTAATTTTTGCTCCCAAAGATGCGCTAGGTCTTACTGAGTCGGAGA